TTGATTGAAAAATACTTTCAACTTAACTGTGCAGCATGGCAGATAAGAACCAGGTCCTGGCAGGGTCCCCTGCTCAGCCACCCACACAGCAGTATAACCTTGGGCCAATTGCTTAACCACTCCCAGCTTCAGTTTTCTTCTCTGTGAAATAGAGACTATGAGACAATCTACCTCAGAGGTTGTCATAAAGATTAAATGAGATAACCTGCAAAGCATTCAATATAGCATCTGGCATACTGCATCCCTCAAAATATGTTAGCTTTTATTATCTTGTGCAGAAAAACAAGGCGGGGGGCGGGGAGGGGAGCTATTGGAAGGAAACAGATCTCTCCCAAATTTGAAGAAAGAGTTAAACAACCACACGTAGGGAAGAACACCTCCAGCAACCTCACCAGAGGGAGTGCTTATGGAACGCCCCCTAAAGCTTCCTTGTCATGACTTGACTTGAGGCTGCTAATGAAAATGGTCAGTCTCTAAGGTTGTCAGCTCAAAATTCTAAATTGCTGGCCTAGGCATGGACCAGATATCCATCTTTGACAAATATGGACAAGGATGGGGATCTTAGTCACCTAACAAAGACAACACCCTTAAGGGAAGGGACAGGCACTTTAGTGAGCAGAGGAACATCCAACACGGATCAGAATGACCTGAGATCATTTTATGAAAGTGCCCTGCACCCTCCCTGAGCATCCCACAGTCTACTTTGCTGCTCCTCCAACTCCCATCATTCCCTAACAGTGGGCACTCCGGCCTATAATTCGAAATTCCATCCTCTCCTCTGCCTAACTCCCTCTCTTGGCATTCATCTATTCCTAGAACTTCAGGAGCATCTATGTTTCTTAAATCCTCACCCAAGGATATTTTTCCATTGGTTTTTAGAGAGAGTGGAAGGGAGGGGAGAAACAAAGAGAGAGAAACATCAGTGTGACAGAGACACATTGACTAATTGCCTCCTGCACATGCCCCGATGGGGCTGGGGATCCAGCCTGCAATCGAGGTACGTGCCCTTGACTAAAATTGAATCCAGGACCCTTTGGTCTGCAGACCAACGCTCTAACCACTGAGCAACTGGTCAGGGCAAGGAGCATCTTTATTATAACTTTTATGCTGACTCTTATTAGGTACTAGAGGCCCAGTGCACTAAATTTGTGCATGGGAGGTGGGGGGCAGGGTCCCTCAGCCTGGATTGTGAGAGGGTGCAGGCCAGGCTGAGGGATCACAATGTTGCACAATCAGGGCCAGGGAGGGACATGGGAGGTTGGCCAGCTGGGGAGGGACTGCGGAGGGCTCCAGGGTGTGTCCAGCCTGTTTCGCTCCCTCCGGATCAGCCAGACCCCAGCAGCAAGCTAACCTACTGGTCAGAGTGTCTGCCCCCTGGTGGTCAGTGCACATCATAGAGAGCAGTTGAGTGGCCTTAGCATGTCATTAGTATATTATGCTTTGATTTGTTGAACGGAAAACCAGACACTTAGCATATTAGGCTTTTATTATATACTAGAGGACCAGTGCACGACATTTGTGCACTGGGGGCGGCAGGGGGGGCTGTCCCTCAGCCCGGCCTGCACCCTCTTGCACTCCAGGAACCCTCAGGTGATGTCCTCAGTGCTGCTGTGGAGGTGGGAGAGGCTCCTGCCACCACCGCTATGCTCACCAGCCGTGAGCCTGGTTTCTGGCTAATCAGTGCACCCCCTGTGTTGAACATCTGCCTCCTAATGGTGAGTGCATGTCATAGCGACCAGTCATTCTGCTGTTCAGTCAATTTGCATATTAGGGTTTTATTATACAGAACTAGAGGCCTGGTGCACAAAATTCATGCACCAGGGGCGGGGGGGGGGGGGCGAGTTCCTCAGCCTGGCCTGGGCTCTCTCACAGTCAGACATCCTTAGCGCTGCTGCAGAGGCAGGAGAGGCTCCCACCATTGCCGCTGCACTTGCCAGCTGTGAGCCTGGCTTCTGGCTGAGCAACGCTCCCCCTGTGGGAGCATCTGCCCCCTGGTGGTCAGTGCATGTCATAGCAACCGATCATTTGCATATTAGCCTTTTATTATATAGGATGACAGGTAAATTACTTTCGCTCCTAGGTCCACAGCATCTTCCTCTGTAAAATGACTGTTTCCTCATCTATTTAAAAAAAAAAAGACCCCTTAATTTAGTTCTTGCATTCTATAATTCTATTAACTGTTCCTCAGTCGTTCCTCCAGTTTCCCACTTCTTTGCCTTTATTCATACTGTTTTCTTTGCCTGAAGAACCTTCCCTGTCCTATATCACTGCCTTCATTTAATTAACATGTATTGAGTATCCACTGTTTCAATAGATATCTCTTGGGTCCAGCCTGTTTCAAGTACTCCCCTCCTCAACTGGAATGGGTCCCTCCAGCCATGTCTATAGGACATGATCCTGCCTTCTCAGCCATAGATTATTCAATCCACTGATGTTAACTGGCTTAATCAGATTCTCTCTGCCAGGAACTTGGAATTTGAAACTGAGAGGCATAGAGCCTGCGTTCCATTAATGTCAGCATTTTAGAGAGGGCCATCCATCAACTCCCTCTCAGAAGTCCCTGGAGATCCCCTGATCCCTACTCTTTCCAGCCTGACTGCTCAGCAATTCCTTGGAGTCCATAGGATATCTTGGCAGCTTTCCAATATAAGTTCCTTTTTCCCATTTTGGCCAATGTCCTTTTCTTATACTTTCATCCAAATGACGATAGCTAATACAATCAGTATTTGAGATACTGTTAGGCTCTGCTGACACAAAAATCAAGTAAAATATTACATCTGCCCTGCAGCAAAATCTATTTGAAATCCTACCCAGATTTAGAATCACAACTTACAAGCCCCCTTCCTCCTTTAAGTTTTCCCATATTCCCCAAGCAGGATTAATCCCTCTCCAGTGTATTACCATTGCATTTTGCTTTAAGTCACCTGTTGGAGCTATTTTGAACATCTGTCTATCCCACTAATTGCAAACCCATTAAATTCAAGACCTAGATTTGTTGACTTTAAAGTCTCTTGGCTCCTAGCACAGTATTTACAAACAGATCATTTGGAAAGAGCATCTGTTGTTTTGTCTGTCCATCATCCTCTCCCCTTTCTTTTCTTTTTTTTTTTTTAAATATATTTTATTGATTTTTTACAGAGAGGAAGGGAGAGAGATAGTTAGAAACATCGATGAGAGAGAAACATCGATCAGCTGCCTCCTGCACATCTCCTACTAGGGATATGCCTGCAACCCAGGTACATGCCCTTGACCGGAATCGAACCTGGGACCTTTCAGTCCGCAGGCCGACGCTCTATCCACTGAGCCAAACCGGTTTCGGCGTCTCCCCTTTCTATTGATAACAGCAACCCAATGTTCCTCTGGAAAATCAGCCTTTCTTCATGCTCAATTCCATGCTTCAGGTGGGTTCTAGAAGTAGTGCATGACCTTCATTTGGTTAGAGTCATGGTGATTTGAATGTGTGACCTAACAGGGCCAATGGGCATCATATCTGAGATTCTGGCAGGAAAGATTTGGGAAGAAAACATCTTAGCTGGGTGTGTTCAGCTGTTAAGGCATAAGCCTGCAGCTATTGATGGTCATCTTTGCCAACACATAAAAAAAGTATAATTATTAATGAAACAAACACAGTGGAAAAGAGAAGATAGGAAGAGAGAAAATTTCAAATGATTTTACATTAGAACTTGCATCCAGACTCCCCTGGATGATAATAATGCCCCCCAAACACACCTCAGGCAAGTCAGGCAAGTTTAAACCAACAGTCTTCTCTTTTTTCCTCCCTCCCTCCATGCATGGTTCCCTCCTGTCCTCGGTAACTCATTCTATATAACTGCCTTGGAGAATACAGTCCAACACAGATCCTTTTAGAAAAGCAGGTTTATTGGTCGGGCTGCTCACCAGGACACAGCAACATGAGAGACTCCCCAGAGCCAGCAGGAAACTGCGTCTGCCCACAACTCAGGCCCCTTCGGCCCTCAGCACCTAGGAACCTTGTCCCAATCCCCATCCTCCCTCAGCTGACCCGTCTCCAGCATTCCCAAGAGAGAAGGGATCCAAGAAAAGGGGAGGGGGAAGCAAAGCTTTGTATTGTAAAAAAGGTTTGTCCCCAGGTTCCCTCCCTCCCTCCACCCCTTAAAGCAATTAGCTGCGATTCTAAAAAGCAGAGCAGGGAAGATAAGGCAGGGAGGAGGAATACTTCAGCCTCTTCTTTGTTAATCCTCACCTGAGGATATTTTCCCATTGATTTTTAGAGAGAGTGGAAGAGAGACGGAAAGACAGAGAGAAATATAAATGTGAGAGAATCACATTGATTTGTTGCCTCCTGCACAAGCCCCGACCAGGGACCTGGCTGGGGAGGAACCTGCAACCAAGGTACGTGCCCTTGACTCAAATCGAACCCGGGACCCTTCAGTCCGCAGGCCAATGCTCTATCCACTGAGCCAAACTGGCCAGGGCTTCCGGCCTCTTCTTAGGGGAACTTGTGAGCCATGCCACAAGTGACTTGCAGGGGAGGGAATTGTCCTTGCTTCTGACAACCCCCTTTACTGGGACTTCAGTATCCTGAGGAGAACCTGGCAGCAACGACCCTCTCACCCCCAAAGATTCAGGAGAGGAACCCAAACGGGCAAGGAGGTCTTGGCGAGTCCTGCTGCTCTTACACTAGTTCTAGGGAAGGATCTTGAGAAGAATCTGCCGGGAGTCAGGCAAGGCTGGGTTGCTCCTTACACAGTCATGATACTCTCCTCACTTCCCCCTCCGGCTCTGTTTGGTGGCCTGGCCATTAGCACTCTGATCTCTTTCTAGTCTGCCCTCCCTCCCCACCCGCCTCACCCCATAACTCCCAGCTCTCCACTGCCTGGTGCTGTCCCCTTCTGGGACCCTAATTTTCTGGGCTTTGAAAAATGGACTGCTCCTGGGGAACCACCCAGATCCCAGTTGAGGAATGAGGTGAGGCTTACTTCTCTATTTGGATCATTGCTTTCTAATCATCCTTCCTTATCCTGAAATGGTCCTGCCGTCTTCTGAGAACCCCAGTAAGATAGGATTCTTGTCCCGTGTCTCTCATGCTGCAAATGAGGCAAATGCTCCTCTCTTCAGCCATTTCCAACTTCTACTATTTCCTATTCTCCTTCCCAAAGCCATAGCCACGAGTTCCTGTGTGCAGATGCATCAACATGTAAGTGTGCCCACCTCCACCCCTGCTCCCCCAGGGTTCTGCTGGGCTCCAGCCTTTCATGTTGGGACCCTTTGCAGACTGTGCGAGACCTTCATCCAGGTTCCTGGCTCACTCTGCCCTCAATCCTGCACAGCCCACGTTCTCCCAAAAGCTGCTTTCAAGTCCTTCCAGTATGGGCCCTCCCACGTGGGCAAAGGTCTCCTTGGGGATTCACTCTTTGCTACTATGTTAATTTCGGCTTTGAAGCCTCCAGGGATCAGGATAAGAAAGAAGAGCTCAGTGAGCAGGAATGACAGCAGCTGGGTGTGTGAGAAGGCGGTAGGAGGAAGGCAGACTGCCCCATTGGGGGCCGACTATGCAAAGGGTAGGATCCCCAACTTGCACAGCCAGCACATGGGTCACTGCCCTTTCCATTCCCACCCAGACGATGCCCCAATGGGGGCTGTTCTCTGTGGAGGCTGCCTCCCGCTCCCATCTCAGTGACAGCTGTAAGACTTGGAAGGTGCTTTCTGGAGGGGAAGGTGTTCTCAATTTAGAAATACGTCAGCCCGGCTTGGGGCCGAGAAAGAATGCGAAAGAGAAAGTTCCAAGAGGGAAAGAAATCAGGGTGGGGGCAGGAAGGGGGGGGCGGGGGGCAGGGCCTCCAGGCGGAGCCCCAAGCGTCCCACTCAGTCGCTGTCGCTCTTGTCCACCAGCACGGCGTCCGACTCCTCGGTGATCTCCAGCAGCGTGTGCACGTCGGGGCTGCTCCCGCGCAGCAGGTCGAGGGCCTCGCCCCTCTCCGCGCCGCCCTCCTCGTCGTCGTTGCCCACCTCCACCATCTCGGTGGCCTTCAGCACCTCCACCTCGCCCTCGCGGATCTTCTTGACATGGAAGGTGAAGGGCGGCACCTTGTAGACGGCCGTCTTGGAGCGCGCGTAGACCACGTGGTCGGGGGTGAAGGACTTGCGCAGCTTGTCGCGGGAGGTCTTGAGCTTCTCCCGGCGCTCGGTGGGGACCAGGCGCGTGCCCAGCTTGTTCATGCGCTTCTCCAGCGTGTGCCGCGTCTTCTCCAGGTTCTCCTTGGTCTTGATGCGGGTCTTCTCCAGGTTCTCCCGGGTCCGCACCTTGGTCTTCTCCATCTTCTCCTTGGAGAAGGCCTTCTTGAAGTCGTCCACGCGCCGCATGCCGCTGCGCTTGATGCGCTCCGCGCGCGACTCCTCGATGACCTCCTCCACCTCCACCGCCTCGTCCGAGGACAGCTCGATCGCCGCGTCCTCCTCGGGCTGCTCGCCCAGCTCGTCGCCCTCCTTCTCCGGCATTGTCTCTGACTCTTTCAGCGACTTACTGATGCTCAGTTTGGCCGGGAGTTTCACTTCATCCTATCGGGAGAGCAGAGGGGAAGAGATGAGTGGGGCTGAGCGGGGACTTGGGGAGGGAGGCGCTGGGTGAACCCGAGGCAGGGTGGCGGGGATCCTGGAGCGTGCGTGGTACCCCTGCCATCGACCTGGACTTGTGTGGTTTGGCATTGTATCCCCAGAGCCTGGCCTCGTTTGCACCCCAGAAATGTGTCGAATGGATGATAGGGCAAGGAGGGAAAAGAGCTTCGGGTCGGAGATTGGCGTGTCGTGTCATTGCTTTTCGGTTAAAAATCTCTGCGCCACCCCCCCCCCCCCAACTCTGTCCTAGTACCTATGTTCACCCTTCTTACACAATAAACCATGCCTTGCCATGTGAGCACAACTGAACTTTGGAAATGGGCAGAGCGCCCTCTGGTGCACTAAGTCACACATTGCCCGAGCCAGGCCTAAAAGCAAAGGGGTTTGAGAACTGTTTCTTCAGGTTGAGGGTTCAGGGAGGGGAGATGAACACACAGCCAATATCAGGCTGCCCCCACGTAAGGTAGCTTGAAGGCAAGGTCAAGGGAGTGCGTTTTCCAGATTTCAAATAATTTCAGAACAAGTCTTAGGGGAGAATGCCCATGTCCTAACCCCCACCCCCCACCCCCACCCCCTTGACCTCCTCATACTGTTTGGCTCCACCAGTGCATTTTTCCCCCATGTGGAAATTCAGGGAAGAAAGAAGAAACAGTTGGCTGGCAGCCAAGGGCATGTTTTTCCCCCAGCACGTATCTCTCTTCTGGTCTGACTTCCCTGCTTTGGAATGGAAGACAGGGATTACTTTTCCATTTTTGCTTTTCCCTCCAGATTGGAGCTCAAGTAGGATGGTGGCCCCACATTCCCTGAGACCCTGAAGTTCAGAGCCAGTTATTCCCTTTTCCTCTCGGAGGACCTAGCATCAGCACTGTCTTCCATTCTGGGAAGATTTTCCAAGATCCTGACTCTGGGCCAACGTTTCACAATCCCAGGATCACACCAGAAGGCGTGGGAGGCTGAGCATAGAGGGGGAAAGGAGGCATAACCCAGAACATAACCAGCATCTCCTCTTTGGTGCAGACTCTCTAGACTAGAGACTTTAGACAAAGGAATGAGAGACGGTATTTCTAGAGGGTTTTCTGAAGATCGTTTCCCAGAATTGTAAGAAAATCCCAACTGAGAAAAATGAGGCAACATGAGCTGAGCCCTCTCAGAAACACACAAACACATACATTGGCCACTTGGTATCTCTGCACCACCTGCTACAGACATTCCTTCCCCCGCTCTCAACCTCTTTCCTTTTCCCTCTCATCCGAATCCCCCCAGTTTCCTGGTTTCCACTGAAAACTAGGAACACCCCTCCCGACTTCCTTCCCTCCCTGTCAATAGCATTAGCAGGGACAACTAGGGAATGCTGGCTCCACCCCTTCTCCCAAACTGGGCACCAGCTCTTCTGGGCATCAAGCTACCTCAAGCTCTCATTATTTGACTACACCTCCCAGCAGGCAAGATGACCTGGGCACCGGGAATGCTGGGACTTGTAGTCTCTACTTGCCATAGCTGGCTTAGTACTGTTATGGGCATCCTACTTTATTTTGTTCATCCCTCTGCCTTTTCCCACTTACAGAGGCATTGAAGGGGGTGTTTTCCATGTTCTGCGTATAGGAGGGTCCCAACCTCTCAGCATTCCCTTAGTTCCAGTTGTAGTCCTTGGGTCTCCTTTAACCATTAGTTCTCCCTGTCTACTACTGAGTCCTCTCTTTCACAGCATTTTAGGCCTCTCTAGGATCTAACTCTCCACTGCCTCTTCATCTATCTCCACCCAGAATTTACCTGCAGTCTTGTATCCAAAAAAAATTTCATTTCTGATCTCTCCTTTACAGCCTCCCAGAATAAAAACCCACATGCGTGACACCAAAGGGTGGAGGTTAACCCCTCCTTTCACTAAGCTCAGACAATGTGGATGGGCTCAGAAGGATTAAGAGTGATGGGCGGGGAATAGTCAGGAAACAGTCCCAGCTGCTGGAAAACAAATCCACATTGTCTCCCTGCCCCACTCCCAGCATTCCTGATTCCCCCCGCCCCACCCCACCCCCTAAAGGCTGAGCTGGCTGGTTTTCCTGGCCTCTGGCTTCCTAGATAAAGGTCTTTGCCAACTGAGCTTGGAAGTGAACAGGGCTAGGGAGAGAGTCGCAGGCTTCTTGTAGCCAATCCCATCTTCCTAATACCTGATGAAAGGGCTCAAATACAACACCAGGGAGCAATCCCAGTGAAGGGAGGTTTATTTCTGGATTTGGGGGCATCTCTCCCAGTACCTGGGAATATAAGCACATTCATTGTAGGTTTCCCCCAGAATGACGGCTTCCACTAGAGGAGCTGCCCTTCTTGGTAGAAGGCAGGAGCTACTAGGGGAAGAAACAACTTGACCCAAATTCCTGAACAACCAGTAGGTTGGTTCTGGAGAGGGTATACCACCATGACTTTAGCTTTTCCCCTCCATTAATGGATTTTCTCTTTTCTTCCCCTTTCCAAGCCAGGTTTCCTCTATGACTCATAGCCTTGGAGTGCTATCTTGGGCCCACCCAATCTGCCTGTTGCTACAACAACCATAAACACAATCCAAAAGCTCCTCCCCCCCACCCTGGGGACACAGGCCAGGCAACCTTGTCCCACCCCTACTTCCCTGGCACAGCTCCTGAACTAAAGGAGGGGCCTTAGGGGGTGGCAAGGAGGGAAGGCTCCACTTGTTCTGTTTTCACGTTTTTTTATTAAACAAAACCACCACTCCCAACAGGCTTGGTTTCCAGAGTTACCTTTAATGACCAGGTCTGAACAAAAGCATGCACAGCTTCCTCCGCCCCCCACCAAACACACACAGCTCCCCAACCCAGGAAGGCACCAGTCCAGGATGAATTTAGAGGAGCCCCAGAGAAGCTTCCAGCCCCTCCCACACCACTCCCCAACCCTGCTGTATAAACTTAAGATCCTCTGGCTTAGGAAGAAAGTTTAATTTAATTGAGCACCTAATATGTGTCTGGTCCTTGGCCAGGCACTTCACATTTGTCAGGGAGAAGGGGTAATGTCATAAGAGCTTTTCTTGCTTTAGAGTGAACCAGCTCTGTCCCCAACTACTGTCTGGGAAGGGCCAGAGAAGACTTTGGGAAGATAATTCGGAGACCTAGGATCTGTTCAGAGAGGGTGTTAGAAGAAGGCGCAGAGGTGAAGGAAAGGCCAGGTCTTTAAAATTCAGGCACTCTGCTTTAGACTGCCAAGACAGGGAGTGAGAGAAACCGAAATCAGAGGGTCCTTCCTTTCTGCCACAGTGTGATATTGTCAACAGGAGTGATATTGTCCCCAAGAAGATGGAAATTGATTCTTGGGGATTGAGGGGAGATTTTAGATATTGTAATTGTTTGAGGTGCTCCAAAGAGCCCCAGTACATAAACAGATACATAGTATAATTGTAAGATTAAAATGTCATGGGGGAGGGGACAATTAGGGGGGAAACGTCTAAAAGGACTCCTCAGGGGGATGATTATGAAAAAGAAGAAAAGTTGGGAAACACTGTGCTATAGGGAGACCAGAAGAGCCAAGCCAGAGCCAGTTAAAATGTACCCCCTTCCGGCCTCTCCGAGTTGGCAGCTTTTGAGTGCCCCGCCCAAGGCAGGATCTGGCAAACATAAGGGATTTCTTTGCAAAACATTTTTTTTTTTTTTTTTTTTTTTTAAATATATTTTTTATTGATTTCAGAGAGGAAGGGAGAGGGAGAGAGAGATAGAAACATTAATGATGAGAGAGAATCATTGATTGGCTGCCTCCTGCAAGCCCCCTACTGGGGATCGAGCCCACAATCCGGGCATGTGCCCTTGACCGGAATCGAACCTGGGACCTTTCCGTTCGCAGGCCGATGCTCTATCCACTGAGCCAAACCGGCCAGGGCTGCAAAACATTTTTTTTTTAAGCTGGAAAAAATAAGTGTAAATGTTTTCCCCAGCTACATGGGGGTGGGGTGGGGAGGGGTGGAGAAGGCACAGAACAGACCCCAGGCCTGGGCTCATGAGGGCTCTCTTTAAAGAGGCTTTGAGCCAAACTGGCCTGGCCCTGAGGAGGAGGCAGAAGGGGTATGGGAAGGGAGAATCTGAAGCCATGGCTCATTTTCATGCAATGTCATGCAGGGCAGCATTGGGTGCAGCTCAAGTATGGTGCTTGGAGTGTCACTATGAAGAAAGAAACCAAGAAGGAGAGGAGGGCCCCTTCCCTTCACCTCCCACCCCATTGCACACACCACATTCGCCTGAACTCTGCCTAATGCAAGAGCATTTCCTAATACCCATCACCCACCCAACATGGAGCAGTGGCTTGGATGAGGCCGACCATCCCACACTGACCACGGCTAAGTGGTGAGCTGATGGTGGACTATAGTGACACCCCATGCCCACAGCCCCATGAGGCCCAGGAGACCCTAAGCGCCCCCACCGGCTGTCGGCTCCTTTGGGGTGGGCAGAGGCTCAGGATCTGGGTAATAGGGCAGTGCCCTAGGCGTCTGGTCAAAGGGTGGGAGCTCAGGTACTGTATCAGGCTTCAGGTCAAAGGGCTCAGTCTCAGGCAGAAGGTCAAAAGGCACGATCTTGGGTGTGACCAGGTCAGAGGGTGCATTCAGCTTCTTCTTGGGCTAAGATGAGGAAAAGGGGTTTAAACAGAGTTTGGAACGGGTGTGGAGAGGGTTGAGAGAAAGGCCTTGGTGAGCATGCAGAGTCGGGAAGGGTGAGTAGGGTGGGGAAGGGAGTACACAATGGATTAGGATGGAAAGAAACCACATTTTAAATGCTTCATCAAGAGGGCCCTGGGGCTGATGGGGTGGAACAAACCCAGACCCATGAATTAATAAACACAATTTAAACGGAACCCCCTCCCTTCTTCCCTCTAGAATCTTCCCCAGCCCTGTCCTTGGCCTCCTACCTTCTGTCCCTACCAGGTTGGAGTGATGGAGGGAAAGAGGCTGCTGGGAGTAGGAGCTTTCTAAGAGGCCAGTTGTTGGATTCTAACTGGGGAGGCTCCAATGAGAAAAGAGAAGACGAACAACTTCACTGTCTTCAGAGACAGACACTGCTGATCCCAGTTCTCATTATTCCCCTGGGCAGGGCGGGCACAGGGTGCCGCCCCGGACAAGGAGAGGCAGAGGCATGGAAGAGGGACATCCTGACTATTTCCTTTTGGCCATGTCCTTACCCCCTGCCTCTCTTGTCACCCTTCCCGCCACCCATGCTTGGGCTACCAAGATGCACAGAGAAATTAGGATTAAAAAAAAAGCTATTTTTATGACAGGTGGGCCTACATTCTGGGGTACCCAGCGGCAGCTCCCAATTCTCCCTCCTGAAGGGTTGAGCCACCACTTTTTCTTTGGACAATCAGGAGAAGTCAGGGGAAAGGGACCGTTGGGGTCACTACAGTCTCCGGTGACAACAGAGCTGAGTGATGGCCTGCAGCCACAAAAACACAAGGCAGCAGGTGCCAACCTGCCCTGTGGGGTGCAGGGAGAAGACTGGAGTGGCAGGGAGACTGAGGAGACAGATGCAGGGGCCGTGCCAGGAGACACCCACACTGGCCAGAGAGCTCCAGGAAGCTTATACCTGCTCTTCTCCCCACTCCCGCTCCCACCATCACTGGGCCAGGTGATCACACCTTGCCTCTTCTTCAGCACTGTGAGGCTGAGCAGCTAAAGGCCACCAACCTTAGCCACTGTTAGCCACCACTGCACACACAAACACACAAAGCAGCCGCAGTGCCCGGACTGTTAAGCTAGCTCCCTCAGAGAACGAAGGAGCCAGAACTAACCCTCTGTTAGGGCTACCCTCCACTCCGGTTTCTGCTGCAGAGGCCAGGAATGGAAGGAGGAGGTGGGGAGCAGAAAGTGTAGCAGAAGGGGGGTACACCTGGGTTCTGGTTTCAGCTTTGACCCCTCGCCCCCAATCACTCGAGTGACAATAGGCAAGTGACTTCCCCTTTCTGGGCCTCAGCTTCCTCCGCTACAAAAGGAAGAAACTGCAGTTGATTATCTCTGAAGCATCTTCCAGCTCAAAAAATCTCTCATGACAAGACGATGAACAGTCACTATGGTATGATTTTTTAAAATAGAACAAGCCACCACTCATCTCTGAGGTTGCTTGCTTGCTTAGCAACAATAATCCTCCTTGCCCTACCAGTTGCCCACCCTGTGCCATCTCCCCCACTTCTTGACTCTGACCTTTACAATGGTCAGACTTTATTTAAAAAAAAAAAATTAGAGCAAGGAGCATGATTTTCTTTAGTCTTAGAAATACCCCTAAAAGTGCCCTCCCTGCTTTCGATCCAGTGACCAGGAAAAACAACCCAAACTCGGTTTTTTGGAGGAAAATGATGATAAGCAGTCTCTCCATGGCCACTAGGCTTAGAAGGACCAGAACCCCAAGTTGGGAATATTTTTTACAAAGTTTTGGGGTTCTGGCCCGGCCCATGTGGCTCAGTGGTTGAGCATTGACCCATGCACCAAGAGATCGCCAATTGGATTCCTGGTCATGGCACATGCCTGGGTTGCAGGCTTTATCCCCAGCGGGGGGGGGGGGGGGGGGGGGGCGTGCAGGAGGCAGCCAATCAATGTTGATGTTTCTCTCTCATCAGTGTTTCTAGATCTCGTTCCCTCTCCCTTCCTCTCTCTCTAAAATCAATAAAAACATTTAAAAATGTTTTGGGTTCTGGAACGAAGTAGCCTTGATTTGCCTTGGGCCCAGGAAGAAGCTATAGGTTGGGTTAGGATTTGGGCAGAAGTCACCAAGCCCTCATTCCAGCCTAGGTGTCCTCCCCTTTAATGCCCATGATCTGCTTGATCCTTTAAATGCTTCCTTGTCTTAACCTCAAGCACTTGGAGCAGGTCTGAGGGGTCCATGTGTAGGTCACTAACTGCCTCATCAAAACTGCTCCAAAAAAACATTTATTCCCTTTCTGGATTCTAAAAGAACTCTAATAATATCCAAATTATTGTCTCAGAGAATTGGCTCTTTAATGATCACAGCTCCTCCTGTTTGCATGGTGCCCACAATCTGCCTGATCCTCCCAGCAGTTCTCAATCCACTGACCCCAAACTACTAGTAGAATTCACTTCTTTCATTCACTAACTGTTGCCTAGCTAGGATGGGATGCCAAACTGCCACTTTTTGTTTCAGTGCAGACAGGGGAATGCCAGAGAGGGGCTGAATTGTATGTGTGTTGTGTACACAAATGCAAACTTAACCTGTGATGTCATCATCAAACTTAATAGTTCCCTGAATCTAGGGTAGGGCCAGGCAAGGGATTCCCTCCTTTATGCCCCAGGAAGGAGGTGTGAGAGGCCCGATGACCTGATCCCACAGCTGGGACCGTCCCACCCTTTCAGGCTTCCCTCCACCCTGCCCCCCTTGCCATATCTTCACCTCCCTACGTCGGCAGTGGGGAATACTGAATCTCCCCCTGTTCCCACGCTGGAGAACTCACACGATCCTGGGAGGCCTTTCTCCAAACCAAGCATCCTACCCCAACAGCCTGATTTTACCATAAATGTTGCCGCCCCCTATCTTCCCTATTAGGTCTGCCAAGGCGCAGAGCTATTTTTACCTCATTCTCTTCCCAGGCCTGCAGACCTCTGGGAGGAGTAGCCTCTGCCTTCCTCCAGCATGGGAGTACCCCACCCGCTCGCCCCCACCTAGAACATCTGTTCTACAGCTCAGGGAAGTTCTGCTTCCCTGAACCCCACCCTATTGCTGGAATCTTTTCTTATCTCTCAGCTCCTCGCAGAATGGGGACCACTTTAGTTCTTAGTTATTTCCCCTGACATTTAGGGGGCTCGAGGTGCTCAGCTTAAGCTATTCCTGCTACTCAACTCCCTGTTCCCCGCTGGCCCTGGGTTAGTACAGATGCAGTCAAAGCCACCCTGAGACACACAATATACAGCCACAGATCCCTGCCAACTGCTGAGAGGGGGTAACAGAGGGATGCTACTGGCCTCTGCAAGGACGTCTTTCTCCCTCCATACCCATCCTCTCAGAATCTCCATCTTTAACATAGGAAGGTTTATGCCAACCAAGAATTTCCCCAAGTTCTACAGCCCAGGCTATTTAAAGTGAGAAGGGTCACCTATTCAGCCCTCCATGGCAGCCCTCTACCTCTACCTAAAGCTGGCGGGCTCCCCTGTCTTGTTCCTAAAGCTGGCGGGCTCCCCTGTCTTGTTCTCTGTCCCTTGAAGCTCCTCAGTGCTATGTAGATCTCTCTAAAAATCACACACACACACACACACACACACACACCCATTCTGCTCCCTCCAAACAGTTAGATCAAATGGAAACAACTCTGAGCAAGCATTTTCTATCAGATAGTGCTGTTTGGGGAGAAGCAAAGCTTTTTAAAGGTCAAGTGCCTATTGGGAAGAGTCCCTGGGCAGAGGGGTAGGGGTGCCACTTCTGCCTCTGTCCTACCACCCCCTCCTCAGATAAGTGCCAGCTCACCCATCTCCCAGCTGCTCCAAACAGTGTCTGCAAACTGCTTGTCCCAATCTGCATCTTTCTTAGCTCCTTCCAGTGAGGCCAACCCTAGGACCCCATGGCATCCCAGATGGTCACTCAGAAGCCAGGTGACCAGGCCCCAGAGTCCTCAGTGAAAACAAAGCTCCCTGACAGGGGTCTCCTCACCTAGGGAGTGTGGGAAATCTAGTCTTCCTTTCCTTTCCACTCCCTTTGATAGAATTGCCCCTCCTCTCCCCCACCCCTCACCCCCCATGATCTCACCTCCTTGGGGTAGGAAAATCAACCAGGCCTGCGGGGAGCAGGGAGCGGAGAGGAGGTGAGGCTGGGCACATTCCCACCCAAGCAAAGATCACCAAGCCCTCAGCGGAGGCCCACCTTAATGGGATTTAGGAGGGGGGGGTAGAAGGGGCAGGTTTATTTGGGGTTAAGATACTAAAAAACTACATTTTCATCCTGACCGGAGGAATGGGGAGAGAGGTGCACTGGCAGCCGCCAGCGGCCTGGGCGGAGCCTGGGGCGCGCCAGCCTCCGGCAGCCAGCGCGCCCGCTCCCCCGCCGCCCCCGCAGGTATGCGAGGTGATTCACGGCGCCCAGGCCGCCGGACCCGCGGGGGCTGTCCGCTCCCGCCACGGGCCCCTCCCGCCCTCCCCCACCCGCCCCCGCTCCAGCCTGCCTGCGTCCAGCGGGCCCGGGGTGCGGGCGCGCCGCGCATAGGGTGTCCCCAGGGACCTGAAAGTGCAGGGAAGCCAGGGGCAGGTAGCACCGGGGGGACCGGGTAGGCCGCCAGAGCTGGGGCGGGGGCGCGGGGTCCGCGGGGCGGTGCAGGCTGTGGCGGCCTCGCCTGGCGCAGCCCCCGCCGGTGCGTGCCTGGGCCCTGAATCACCCGCTATATCGGGCGGGCAGCGCCTGAGGCCCCAGACTCGGGCCGCGCCGCCAGTGTCCGTTTACAGCGGGTCCCCAAAGCCGCCAGGCACCCACGGCTTCCCCCCAACTTCTCGGCGCAGAAAGGCTGCTGACCGAGCCCACTTAGGAGCTGTTTGCCGGGGGCCGTGTCCCCGAGGCCAGCCCCCTAACTCGGTTCCACTGTGTGTTTGACACGGGAGGGAGGGGGCTTGGTGAGGAGATGCGGGGTACAGAGTGCGCCCCTCTGCTGCTCCAGGAATCCGCTGCTCACCCCACCCCACTCCACCCGACCCCAGCTGCGCTCGTCCGCAGGAGGGTTGGTCCCGGGGCCCGGACAGGCTAGCGGACAGGCTGGCGGGGAAGAGCCGCGCTGCGCCGCGGGCAGGTCCTCCACCCCCAGCCCCGGCCTGAGACCTCGGGCCGGGCACGGAGTTGTGGGCAGGTCCGCCCGCCAGCTCACCTGGTAGATCATAACTTTAAAGTTGCGGCGTCGCAGCAGCTCGGCCTCGTTGACCTCCAGCTTCTTGATCTGGCCGGCCTGGCGCTCCAGGCTGCCGCGCACGGTCTTCACGTTGACGCTGACCTTGCGCACCTTCTCCAGCAGCTTGCTCACCGTGTTGCTGGTGGTGGCGTGCGCCTTGCCCAGCTTGCTCAGCTCGCCCTGGATGCTCTGCACGGCGCCCTCCATCTCCGCCTGCCGCTCCTCCAGCTGGGCTTGGGTCAGCTGGATCTGGTCGACGGCGCCGATGATTTTGTCCAGAAGGCTCAGTACCAGCACGCCGTTCACCTGGTCCGACTTGATCAGCTCCTCGGAGCCGGCCCCCGACGGCTCCTCCGCCGCCGGCGCCTGCATGAGGGAGGACGCCGGGTCCTCGGCGTCAGGGTACCCGGAAAGCGGCTGTTCGATGATATGGAGCTGGGTGTCCTCCATGGCTACCCGGAGCCGTGCGGGGCCGGCCGGGTGGAGCTGAAGCTGGAGTAGGAGACCGGGAGAGGAGGAAGAGCGGGAGGGGGGAGGAGAGCGAGAGCGATCGGAGAGCGGAGGAAACTCTAGCCACGTCCGTGCGCCCCGGGACTGTGGCCAGAACTGTGGGGCGGGGGACCTCTGAGCTCCCCCGCTCCCACGCCAAACCCGGGAGTCTCGTCGCCCATTGGCTGGCCCCGTCCCAGAAAAGGAGGGACCGGGGCAGAAGGGAAAACCGATGATGGGGGGGTGGGCAACCAAGGGGGACCCAGGAGCCGCGCGCCCCACCCTTCCCAGGATGGTTGGAATACTTGGAGCGGAGACTAGGGCCGCCTCTGGCAGCGGAGGCGGTAGGAGCGGGACTGGGGCAGAGGAATGTTAGCTGGAGAGGAAACCGTCCTAGATTGTTGCTCACTTTTCCCTCTCTTTCTGCTCACCTGCAAGCCTACCTCAGCCTTTTAAGTTCTAGAGCGGGAAGTCAAGTGGAACACGAGCTCCTGAAGTTCTATGCGAAAGGTTGTGTCGGTCTGTGCCCAGTTTTTGAAAGGGAAAGTTATCCACAGTCCTTGCGAAGAAGCCTCTAACTACCCCACCCCTCAAGTTACCAACCGCTGCTCTAAAAGCTTGAGGGGTTGTTTGGGAAAGGAAGGGAGAGGGAACTTAAGTTAGGGTCGCAGTGGTGGTGAGGGGCTGCAAAGCTTCTCCAGGTTCCTCTTAGGATTATCCTAACAGAATAGGATTAAAGCAGGCAATAAAGTAAAAAGTAAAGCCCTTACCCACTTCTAAACTTTCCCTAAACTTCAGCTTTCCCTGTGTTCATCCCTGCCCCAGAGACCTAGCTGACACTAATCTCAGAGCAGGATCTAGGAATGCCCCCTTCTTTCTAGATCCTAGACGCCAGTGCTTAGCAATCAGAGATCTTCAGTTCCCACCTCCTCATTTGACAGAACAAACACGTGGGAAAGGCAAGTGACCTGCCCGAGGTTACCTGCAGGTTGGCATTGGCTTGGCACTTAAACCAGGTCCCTGGCCTCCTCTCACACTTTCTACCTTTCATTAGTACAGGGTGGGCACACGAGGCCATCCGCATGTGCTGGTTTTGAGCCTGTGGGCCTGAAGATTAACTACCGACATATTTTCAACCATAGTGAGTACCAAGGAGCAGCACCAAGGAGGACCCTGAGCTCAGAAGTCCAAGGAAAGAGAGGCTGCCCAGGCAACCCCCAATTTGCTCTCTAGCACAGCCCTGGGGCTGTGAGTTTGCTGGAGCAGCACCAGCCCCCTTTCCCCCAGAAAAGCTGCAACCCTTTTCCCTAGTTAGGAAACCAAGCTTGGGTTTCCCCAGCTGGATAGATGATGGTCTTGGCAAAAGACCTATGCTAGTCTGGCATGCGTTATCATTAGGAAGAGTGAAAAACTGTTTGGTGGAACCCAGGGCTCCATCAACCCAGTTGGAGAGTCCTCCAACCCAGAAAGGAGCTAGAGAGCTCACTGTCCGGGACAGTCTGGGATAGTCCCAATGAATAGTTCCCCCAATGCTTCAGTAGATGTTTTCTTAGAAACAAATGGCTTTCTTGTTTGTGATTCAAGTAGTATATATAATTTTACATATAAAATTATAACTGGTATATAAAATCATAGCTGGTATATAAAATTATCCATAATATATAAAATCATATATATATATATATATATATATATATATATATATGAGATCTGAAAGATTACCCATTTATTTTAGAATTTAAAAGAAAATGTATTTTGGCAGTTTAAGTTGTTCCATTGAGGATTGATAAGATTTCTAGAAAAAAGAAGAGTGACAGTAGAGAATTTTACTGGGCCTTCATAAGGTTCTTACATTTTTTAATTGGTTAGATTATTTCCATAGGTAGCATCCAAGATACAAATTTGTGAGTAGCAACCAAAAATATAGTGAAAAGAGGTTTTCTTTCTATCACTGTCTGCAGTAATTAATTTCTTCCCCAGGAGACAATTGTTACTATTTTCTGGTGGAATCTTCTATAGAAAGTCTCTGCATATATGATCAAATTTAAATATTGCTCAGCATTTTTCTTTTTTTTTTCAGTCACTAATATATCTTGGAGATTGTTTCATGTCAGTATTCCAAAGTATGGACGTACTATACTTACTCAACAAGTTCTCTATCAATGGACATTTAGGGATTACAATTTAAACCTCACTTGGGGGGGGGTCTGAAGAGGCATTTTAGTGGTTGACTTGATTTTTGTGGTTGCATGCTTGCTAAAAGGAATTAAGTCCATGCCATTTTGACTTCCCATCAGGAAAATATTTCTACTCTTCAAAAAGGAGTGACCTTTTTGAGATTAGTCAAATTATGTTCCAGGGATAGTCTAGTAAATACATGACTCATTTCATGCCTTGTTAACAGAGAATTTTGCAGAAAGGGCCCTACCCCTACATACCTATGTCCAAGAAATGATCTGTATCAACAAGTTTCTCTCCTGTCCTCTTCTTACTAAATGCCAGCTAAATCCAACAGGGGGCGTGCTAAGCCTTGATGAACTAGCTTTATCGCCAGGGACTCCCAGAACTGGAGGGAAGTACTGCCCAGAGTACTTCATTTCAGTGAAAATAAGCAGTTTCCCTTCGTTTGGAATTGCATTCAGCATGCCATTGCTTGCAGTAAGGGTTGACGCTTTGCATTTTCCATTGCTCACACTTATTTGCTGAAAGGCACACTGTTCCATTGCGTGCTTTCAGCGGCTGAGGCAGAGACTGTAAAAGGGATAAAGAGGTGGAAACAAACAACCCTTTGGCCCAGAAAAAGAACACCAGGATGCAACCATGTCAGCAGCTGGAATCTCATAGCACTCTACCATATTCCTCCATCCGCCCACGTGTTCAACAAAGTGTGACTGCTTACCTTGAGCCAACTGCGGGGCTGGGGACTTCAAGGAGGATGAATAAAGCTCAGTCCTTCCTATTGAGGAATTCATAGCATAGCAGGAGAGGCAGATGCATAGTTTCAGGTACAAAGTGGAGGGTTCTCCAGCAGCTAAAGGAAGGTTGCCACTTTCTGGAAGAGTGGGAAGGGTTCGCAGAGGGAGGGCCTCTAGGTATAAAGGAGGAGAGAGGGTAGAGGTGTGGAAGTGCAGGGCTGAGGGGTGAGTAGCCAGGCATTGCTCATCTCTTACTGTGGTTCTGCCTTAAGTCTTATTGGTTTATATTTAGGAAGATTGAGCAAGGTGTGAGGGGTGCACGTGTAATATGTCCCATTCGGTTTTGGATCCATGCTGGGAGAGATCCTAGGGAGACAGTGTGTTTTGTTAATAATAAAGATTTGGGCCTGACCAGTGTGGCTCATTGGTTGAGTGTCAACCTAGGAACCAGAAGGTCACGGTTCAATTCCTGGTCAGGGCACATGCCTGGGTTGCGGGCTCAGTTCCCAGTAGGGGGCAGGCAGGAGGCAGCTGATCAATGATTCTTAGCATTGATGTTTCTATCTCCCTCTCCGTTCCTCTCTGAAGTCAATAAATATATATTAAAAAAAATAATAGTGGGGGCTTGTCCTCAGGGGTGGGAGTGGCCGGGGGGGGGTGTCAATCGGGGAAAATGGAGACATATGCAATATTTTAAACAATAAAATAATAATAATAATAATAATAATAATAATAATAAAAAACATTTGGGATGAATTACGTGTCCTCACATCAGAGAAACAAACATCCTGCACAGAAAACCAGTCCCCAGCAGCTGGCTCACAGTTGCCACAGGTGTTCATCCCCAGATTTACAGGCACTAGTCTTGTCCCTCTGGCATATATGAAAAGTGCCTACAATGTTTGTATATTTCTTTTCCTCAAAAATTCCTTCCTTTCTCCTTCAAACATTTTCTGGTTTCCTGAACCAGAAAACAATAATAATAATTTTTAAAAAACCTTGGTAAGTGCTAATTTATGCTAGAAACCACAGCATACAGCAAGTTTGGTTGAGAGTGTTAAATTCAGACTAAAACACAGAAAACATCAAGAAAATATATTAATGAAAATGCAATCAAGCCTCCCTTCCTCCTTTGCTTTCAACATACACTGGTCTCCTATCCTACACATAAAAAACAGAAACAAAAACTGCAGTCATAATTGGTTTTACCTTCCTGTCTCCTCAAGGTGGGGTCCATCTGTTTTCTTCTGTTCAAATTCAATTGTTTTGTAGAACTGTGGTTACTGGGCTTTTACCCCCAATTCAGTCCTTAAACTTTAGAAGTTTATCCAAAAAGTTGGTTTTCTCTCTACCAAAAGAGCATTGAAAAGTCAGTAATAGACCCCATATTCTACCAATGATCTCTCCTTTTCTAATTTTATTTAAACTCAGCAGGATTTAGCACTGCTGTCATTGAGAGTCTCCTTTATGGTCTTTTGGGAGGCTATTATTTTTATTTATTTCTAGTCCCATTTGCTAACTTTTTTTCTTCCTTTTTTAAAAAAACAGCCTTCAAAACTGCTAAAAACAATTTTAAACCCCAGCTTTATTGAGGCATAATTTATGTGATACACGATTCACCTATTTAAAGTGTTCAATTCAATGGTTTTTAGTACATTCACAGAGTTGGCAACCACAATCAATTTTAGAACATTGTTATCATCCCCAAAATAAACACCTGTCAAATAAAAAACAGATCCGGATTTAGCAAAGGGAGACTATTTGAAAGGATTATTGCCTGGGAGGGAAGGGACTATTACAATCAGGGGAGGGGGTCTATTGTAATGGACACAGCGCTATGACCATAAGATCTGCAAGTGTCTCAAGGGCTGGACAAAAGGGGGGCTTCTTTTATGGAGAGGAGTAAACAAAGCTAAAAAGGACCAGGTGCAACGAATGGATGAAGGGGTGGCATGAGAGTAGGTAAGAGAATACTTTTCCCTGAAGCCAGCCTATCCTCAGGAGGACTTGAGTGCTGGCTGCGGCTGAGAGCAGGCCAAAGATCAGGGACCTGGAGGAAGAAGAAAAGCTTAAATAAAGTTTGGTTAAGAAGCATTTTGTTCCGAAGTGATTAGCGGGGACAAGCAGTTCAATGATCATTTATGAGGCAAAGACTGAGAATGTGGAGGGTCTATGTTTGTCTTTGCCATAAGTAAATAAGAGTGGCATCTGTGACTCACCGGGAGAAGGGTGGTTCTTTGCAGTAAGCTATTTTCCAGAACACAGAAGGGTGGGGAGATGCCTTTAAACTCCAATGTTTTGCAGGAATACAGAGCTCAGGTGAAATTCAACTTTGTTACCCCCGCACCCATTAGCTGTCACTTCCCATTCCCCCTTTTCCCAGCCCCTGACAATCACTGATCTACTTTCTGTCTCAGGCTGCCTATTCTGGACACTTCATATAAGTGGAATCATACATATGTGGCCTTTTGTGTCTGGCTTCTTTCACTTGGTATGTTTTCAAGGTTATTCATATTGTAACATATATCAGTACTTCATTCCTCGTAATGGCTGAATAAAATTCTATTGTATAGATATCCTACATGGTGTTTGTTTATTCATCAGTTGATGGACATTTGGGTCCTTTCCATTTTTGGGCTATTATGAATAATCCTGCTATGAATATTCATGCTATTTTCCTTTTTTTCCCCCCTACTTTTAAAAAAAATTGATTTCAGAGAGAGGAAGGGAGAGGGACAGAGGGAAACATCAATGATGAGAGAGAATCACTGATCACTTCCTGCACGCCCCCTACTGGGGATCAAGCCTGCAACACAGGCATGTGTCCTGATTGGGAATCGAACACTGAGCTCCTGGTTCATGGGTTGGTGCTCAATCACTGAGTCACATTGACTAGTCCTGTGCTACTTTCTTAATGTAGGTATTTAACATGGGTTCTGTCTCCAGCCCTCTGCTCTGGTTCCAGTCACTTTCCCTCTTTTCTTTCATCTTCTTTTTTGGCATCCTCTTTGCAGTGACTCTAACATCAGGCCTCTGGTCCTTTAAATGTTAAAAATATTTAAAACCAGTGGCACAGTCAGACATCAACTCGTCAGAAGGGATGCTGTTGTCTATCATGCCCTTCAGTCTGCAGGCCGACGCTCTATCCACTGAGCCAAACCAGCTAGGGCAAATATATTTTATTGATTTCAGAGAGGAAGGGAGAGAGAGACATCAACTCATCAGAAGGGATGCTGCTGTCTATCATGCTGAAGCAGAGCTCTGGTGGTCCCTGCTGTGTCTGGCATTACCCAGGGTCCTAAAGTAGTTCTGAATCCCATGATGCCCGGAGGAGCAGTGATTGTTTACCAGTATGTCAGCCTCTCCCCTGAATGCCAGAATTTCATCTCCCATTGCTTACAGCATAGCTGGATATCCCACCATCATACCAACTCAATACATATAAACTAAATTCAATATCACTGCTTACATTAAGCATCTGTTGAACAGAACGTTTATTCGTGGTGTGTAATTTCATGTGAATGGCTTTTCTTCTCTTAGTTCTCCACCTCTCTCTTAGTTCTTAGTTTTTTCATCTGTAAATGAAAAAAGTGGGGGGTTATAATTTCTAAGGATCCTTCCAGTTCTGATATTCAGTGAGTCTATGAAACTAATCTTTGATACTTTAAAAAAAGTCCTTTGAGAATTTGTAGTACTTCAGAAAAATAATTGTGGACATCATTCACTAAAACAAACATTTAACAAGTATTTATGGAGAGCCTATTAAGTGCTCGTCCCAGTACCAGGAGATGGAGACGCAAAGATGGAAATACCTGATCCTTGCTATCAGGAACTTAGAATCTAATATGAGAGCTAGACATGTAGCTCAACAACTACAAGTTAATGTGATAACAGCCATGAAAAGCACCAAATATAATAAACAATGATAGCACAGGGGAAAGAGTACTTCTGTTTACATAAAGGTGTCAGGGGACATTTCAGAGTTGAGCTGTGGCATTTGCCAAGTAGAAAAAAGTAGCTGGGGGTTGGGATTCTAAGCAGAGGAAAGATCTTGGTAAAGGCATGAGGATGTCTGAGTCCACATGGCTAAAGTATAAGATGTTTGGAAGTAGAATGGCTAAAGGTGAGGGTGGGCAAGAAAAAGTTGCCCAGTCACAGTGCATCCTGGAAGTCATGCTGGACTTTATCCTAAAGATTAGAAGGCACCACTTAATTATTGTAACCAAAAGAGGGAGAGGAAACGATTTGAATTTTAGAAAGAAAATTGATTTGAGGGGATGGGGCTGAGACTAGAAACAGGGGGGATGGGGAGAGGGCTCTATTAGGAGCTACTGAAAAGTCCCAGCAATAGAAGATGACATCAAGGAATTATTATTAAGGTGTGATAATGGTATTGTGGTTATACTTTTAAAAATAATCCTTATATTTAAGAGATACATACTGAAGTATTTACAGATGAAATGATATCATATCTAGGATATGATTCAAAATAATCCGAAGGAAAGTGGATGAGATAAAGATAAAATGAGGTTGGCATGTGTTAACCATTGTTGAAGCAAAGCGATAGGTACATAGGGATTCATTGTATTATTCTCTCTATACCTAACTTTCCCATAATAAAAAATAGTAAGGTTGTTTTGAGGATGAAATATGTTCATACATACAAAGGGACAAGTCAGAATGGTTGATACACCATTGGTGGCAAGAAATGTGCAGAACCCTTTTCCCTTTCTCGCACTTGAACCAGTCAAGAACTGGTATTCAAGAAAACTTTCTGTTAAACTAATTTGTTGCTCACAAGAGGATGCCTCTCCTCACCCCCCTTTCCTTTCAACTTTCCAGTTGGAAGCAAGACCAGATCTTTAAAACAAGACACTCTCAATCAAAACAGTGGTTAGCAGCTGTACACATCGCAACAAAACTATTTGCGTTGTGGAATCTGGCCGTTTTCCCAGGAAACGATTTCCATTTCACAATGTAGCAGAACAGGAAGAGTGTGAAGGCTTGCTCAGATATAGATTCTTTGTGCTCCACTCAGATTTCCACATTTCCATTGTGCTCTGGGCGTGACAGTCCAGCTGTGTGTTGGTGGAATGACTCACTTTTCCACCAAAACACGTATTTCTATGAATCATCAGGGCTACTGATTGGTGTGAATGAGCCATCAGCACAGAATTGGTTCCTGAATCCATTATATGACTTCAGAGAGATGATTTAAAGTTTTTCCATGACTTAAATTGAAAGAGGCAATCCAATTATCCAGATAATTCATGCTCTAAAACCTTTAATGTTTATAAGTGGTTATTAAGAACAGCTTTTTGATACCATAAGGAACTACAAAGGAAATAGAGGCATAATCTATGTTCTATTGGTGTTTAATGATCTCATTGAGGAAATAAATACTCAAGAAGTAGAAGGATTTCAAAATAAGTAGATGATATTCATACAAATATATGCAAAATATATTAATCAATGTTTAGGAGCACTAGAATAATAGAGTGATCAAAATAGGAAGAGGATATCTGGGGAAAATTTTCATTTACAAAATATTTTAATTATTTAAAATTTACAGAAAATGTTTTTTAGGTCAAAAAGATTTTTTTTCTGAGCCATCTGAGAGTAAAGTGATAATCTGATGTCTCATCACCCCAAATATCATGTATTTTCTACAAAAAAGGATGTTTAGATATATAGCCTAGTACATCCATCAAAATCAGAAAATTAACATTGATGCATACCACCATCTGCTCCTCAGCCCATCAAATTTCATCATTTGTCCCAAAAGTGTCCTTATAGCTTAATTATTCAATATGAGATCCCTCCTTGAATGTAGCAGTTACCTCTCTTTAGTCTCCTTTCATCAGGGGAATCATTGTTTTCTTAACTTTCATAACTTTGACATTAAAAAATGTATTTTTTAACTTAATTTTTAGAGAGAGAGAAACATCAATAGGCCACCTCCCACATGCCTCCTAATGGGGATCAAGCCCACAACCCAGGTATGTGCCCTAACCCCAGAGAATCGAACTGTAAACTTTTTGGTGCATGGGACGATGCTCAGCCAACACAGCCACATGGACCAGGGCATAAGTCTGACATTTTTGAAGATTAAAGAATAGTTATGTAGAATGTTGCTCAGTTTGGGCTTGTCTGATATTTCCTTGTGATTGGATTTAGGATAGTTGTCTTTGGCAGAAATAGCACAAAAGGGATGCTATGTTCTTCTCATTGTACTCTATCTGGTGGTACATTATTTTGATTTGCCCACTGTTAGTGATATTAACCTTGATCAGTTGGTTGAGGTGGTGTCTATCGGACTTTTCCAGTGTAAAGTTACTCTTTTCCTCTTTATCATCTAGAACTATTTTGTAGGATGGTATTTTGAGACTAAGCAAATATTCCACATTCCAATTCCTTGAACAGCACAAACTATCATACTCACCCAAGATGAAAGAAATAGTTTGGGTAGCTCTATAACAGTTAAGGACATTTAATTTGTAATTTAAAAGTCGCAGTAAAAGAAATTTCCAGGTCCAGATGGTTTTAGTGGAGAATTCTACCAAACATTTAAAGAATTTAATACCAATTCTACACAATCTTTTCCAGAAAATAGAAGAGTTGGGATCCCTTTCCAACCCATTTTATTTATTTTTTTTATTTTTTATTTTTTTTTTAATATATTTTATTGATTTTTCACAGAGAGGAAGGGAGAGAGATAGAGAGCTAGAAACATCGATGAGAGAGGAACATCGATCAGCTGCCTCCTGCACATCTCCCACTGGGGGATGTGCCCGCAACCCAGGTACATGCCCTTGACCGGAATCGAACCTGGGACCTTTCAGTCCGCAAGCCGACGCTCTATCCACTGAGCCAAACCGGTTTCGGCCAACCCATTTTATAAGACCAGTATTACCCTGATATCAAAACCAGGCAAACAAACAATAACAACAACAACAAACAACCTAGACAGACAGTACAAAAAAAAAAAAAAAAAAAAAAAAAAAGAAGGAAGAAGAAAGAAAGAAAGACCCAGACCAATGTCCTTCATGGAAATATATTTTTAAAAAATCCTGAACAAAACATTAGCAAATAGAATTCAACAATATGTAAAAAAGAATTATATACATGGCCAAATGGGGTTTGTTCTAGGGTTGTAAGGCTGATTCAGCATTTAAAATTCAATCAGTATAATCCATCAGTAACAAGGTAAAGAAGAAAAAAAATAGATCCTATCAATTGATGCAGAAAGTGCATTTGACAAAAATCCAACACCTATTCATGATTTTAAAAACCTAGCTCTACCCTAGTCAGTTTGGCTCAATGGATAGAGCATTGGCCTGCAGACTGAAGGGTCCTGGGTTCAATTCCGGTCAAGGGCACATGCCCGGGTTTTGGGCTTGATCCCCTTTAGGGGGCATGCAGGAGACAGCCAATCAATGATTCTCTGTCATCATTGATATTTCTCTTTCTCCCTCTTCCTTCTTCTCTGAAATCAATAAAAATATATATTAAAAAAAAAACACTCAGAAAATGAGGAATAGAAGAGAATTTCCTCAACTTGATAAAAACATCTACCAAAAACCCTACAGCTAGCATCATATTTAATAATGAAAGACTGGATTCTTTTTTCCTAAGATTGTAAACAAGTTAAGGATGTCTGCTTGTATCACTCCTATTCAACATAGGAAGAACTAGCCAGCACAATAAGGCAAGAAAATAACATAAAAGGCATACAAATTGAACAAAACAGAAATAAAACTCTACCTTTGTGCAGATGGCATTATCGTCTATCTAAAAAAATCTCAAAGGATGGGATTTACAAAAGTTTTTTGTTTTTTTTAACAAAAACTCCTAGAATGAATACATGAGTTCAGCAAAGTTATAGGATATACAATAAACACTCAAAAATCAATTGTATTTCTCTACAGTTGTAGTAAACACATGGAAACTGAAATTAAAAATACAATGCAATTGCCCTGTCCAGTGTGGCTCAGTTGGTTGGTAAACTGAAAGGTCACAGGTTTGATTCAGGTCAGGGCACATACCCAGATTGTGGGTGGGTCCCATCTCCCTGTGATTACATTTCAGTTTTGTTTTCTTTCCTTCAAAAATATTTATTAAGTATATTTGAATGCCCGTCATTAAGCTAGGCAGTGAAAATATAACAGTTCAAGTTAGATCTATCTCTTGACCATTGAATCAATCAGATCCTTTTAACTGTAATTTTCCAATGTATTTATTCACTCCAGGTCTCACCTCCTTTCCCCAAGTCACTAGAAACCCAATATAGAAACATTTACCAGATTCTCTACTTTCAGAAACCTCCTTGAACTAGTTTTTTGTTTTTCTGGGCAAATATTTTAGGTCTCTGCCCTGTGTCAATCAAGCCTTTCTTTATTCCCATCTCAACTTTTCTCATGTTTTCTAAAATTTTTAGAATTGTTTGTTTTTATTAAATTTATTGGGGTGACATTGGTTAATAGGATCATACAGGTTTCAGGTTTAGATTTCTATGATACAAGATCTGTATAATGCACTGTGTGCTCACCACCCAAAGTCATCTTCTGTCACAATA